CAAAACTGAGCCATTGAAAACTCTATGGAGCACAGTTGTGTTCAGACATCTATGGAGTCACTATGAGTTGACATCAATTTGATTGCAACCAGTTTTTTAATGCTGTTTAACACTTTTATGAGGATACAATTTGTAATGTAACTTATTTTGTAATAAAATTGTGCTGTTTATTTTCAAATGCTATAAGTTTGATTTTCAAAATATAGTGCATATATAACTGGCTGCATTTATTTATAACTTTTTTTAATGAAAATTTTTATTGAGTTCAGTCAGCCATCTTCTCCCCAGAGAATTGTTAAGCTCCTTAAAGATAAGAATAATTATCCAGGTTACCTTTTGAGCCTAGAAATGGACTCACTTACATGGATTGGCTATGTGGGTTACCCTTTGAGCCTAGAAATGAACTCACTTATATGGATTGGCTCTCAGCCCAACATTAGAAAGACCTACATGCAGAACACCTACCCCAAGGCGATGCACTCACCTACTCCAGGGAGATGCACCCCTTGGATCAAGCAGTCTTGAGACATCAGAGAGGTAGCATTCACATACAGGGAAGGCTGGACAGATAGGAATGCATGGATTAGAGGGGCACAGGAAGGTTGTGGTCATGGGGAGGAGAGGGGAAGAAAGTTTCATGGTAATCAGTGCTATGAGGCCAGATGTGCATGAATCGTTGAATGTAAAACAAGTTTGCTATGCAAATTTGCACCCAAAGCACAATAATAAATAAATAATGCAAAAAAAAGAGTAATTATATTTATTTGGCATCACAAAGAGATGACTTTTCTACTTTAGCCCTGTCCTAACCCTGTATTTAGTGAATTTTCAAGTTTGTCATAAGACTAAATAAAGCATTCTGAGATTTTAGAAGCAAAAGAAAGTAATTTTCTAACTTCTTAAAGCAAGATATACGAGGTAGCATTTCTTGATTTTAAAGAAAGTAATCCCCATAATATTTTGTTCAAACTCAAGGTTAGTCACATCATTCAAAGACTAATGTGGATGATTCTTTCAGTTACAAAGTACTTTCCCAAAACACAAAATTATATTTACAGTGTGATCACAAGTATGTAAATACTTTTGTGAAAACCTAGACCTGGAAAAAATATGCCAAAATAAATCAATGATTATCTTTTGAGGGGCACAAATATGGAAAATAAAATACTCATTCTCTCATTTTCTTTTTACTTTTATGAACTTTCCAAATTTTATGTAATATGTGTATACTTTTCACGTAGAAAAATATGCTAACATTTATCCTTTAAAAAGTCAACAAGGCAAAGAATATGAAAATATTATTGTGCTAGTTTCCTTGACCTTCTTTCCCTCAGATATTGTTCTTTTCTTTCTTTTCTCATTGAAGTTCTCAGAGTAAATAAAATAAATGGTTGGGAATGGAGTGGCCCTCTCAAGAAAATTACTTTTATAACTCCCTCCATTTGAAACCATCACTATTTCTTTCCCACCAAACTGGCAGCAATAACAACTAGAACCATAGCAATATTTTTATGTTTAATATTGACTATCTAGGTGGCATGGTGCCTAAGGCATTTGACTGCTAACCAGAAGTCTGGCAGTTCAAACCCACCAGCTACTCCTCAGAAGGAAGGTTGGGTAATCTACTTCCATAGTGATACTGCCTCAGAAACCCAAAGAGGGGTCGCTATGAGTCAGATCAGACTCAACAGCAGTGAGTTTGGTTTGGTAAAGTACCAAAGTTAAGTTTTATTATTTATTACTTCTTTTACCATATCCCCCCAAATTCACCTATGAAATAAGGAACAAAAGAAATATTGTTATCAGGAAAGAGCAAAGAATGTTTTCACTTTAAAGTAATATTTTCAATTGATGTCTGGATAGTAGCTTTAGATGATTGTTGCTGTTGTTAGATGTCATTGAGTCGGTTCCACCTCATAGCCATCCTATGTATAACAGAACGAAACATGGCCTGGGCCTCACAATCACTGCTATACTAGAGCCCATTGTTGCAACCCCTGTCAATCCTTCTCATTGGGGATCTTCCTCTATTTCACTGACACTTTACTTTACCAAACATGATGTCCTTCTCCAGGGAGTGGTCCCTCCTGATACATTCTATGTTGTGATTATTACTGGATGTTTGTGGCTGATTTTTTTACATTTTGAGTTGTGCCACATCAGCCAATGAAAGTCCCAAAAACTTTGCTCCAGCCACGTCATTAAGGTCATCTCTACTTTGATGAGGGAGCTCTTCCCCAGTCATATTTTGAGTGCCTTCCAACCTGAGGGGCTCATCTCCAGCACTATATGTAACAGTATTCTGCTGCCATTCATAAGGTTTTCCTTGGCCACTTTTTCAGAAATAGACTGCCAAATGTATCTTTTTAGTCTGTCATGAAGCTCTGCTGCAACCTGTCCACCATGAATGACCCTGCTGGTATTTGAAATACCGGTGGCATAACTTCCAGCATCACAGCAGCATGCGAGCCACCACAGTACAACAAACTCACAGATGAGTAGCAGTTGTTTTAGATAGATGCTACAGATTGCCTCCACAAGCAGGTATGGGTGAGAAATTTCCATCCCCTCAATTATCAGAAGGTATCTTACAAAACTATTTCTAAGTCATTAAAGCATCATTTTGCTTGTTTAATGGTGAGGATTGTCACAAAAGTGTTAGGTTGTTAGGGCTTCAGACATCTCAATAACATGTGTTAGGTGAGAGTCTACAAACCTACAGGGTAAAGATATAATAGAGTAGAGACATGCCCTTTGGTGAATATTTGTGCTAATCAGAAAGTATTTTGAGATCTTAAAAATATGGGTTTTAGAGTCAGATATAATCTGGCTTCAAGTTAGATTGCTTAATGAGCTATGTAGCTACATATTAAATTTTCTGAAGTTCAGACTATTGACTTGTGAACTGGAGAAAAACAGTAGCTATTTATATGGCTGTTATGACAATTCAATAAGATAATAGCTTTAAAGACTATGGACTGTTGAAAGATTTCAGTAAATGGAAGACAGTGTTATTTGTTTCATCCATCATCAGCCTTACCAGTTGGCAAATTCTACTTCACATATAACCCTATTACCAGTACTCAAAAGGGCAGTGGTGGTTCACTGGTAGAATTCTTGCCTTTCACGTGGGAGACCTTTGTTCTATTCCTGGTCAAAACACTAGTCTTTCAGTGGAGGCTTCCATATTGCTATGATGCTGAACAGTTCCAGACTAGGCTAGAAGATTGCCACAAAGGGCTGGCAGTCTGCTTCTGAAAGTCAGCCAATGAAAACATGAAGGATCACAATGGTTTGATCTGCAACCCATCATGGGGATGATTACCCATCCAGGACTGGGTAGCATTTTGTTCCATTGCACATGGGCTCACCATGAGTTGTAGGCCAACTAGAGGCCTGCTACCAGCAGCAATACTAAAACTTGAAGGAAGCTCTATGACAAGTGTCTTTATTAATGATATCCCAGAGGGCATATTAGTGCTGGTGAATTTCAGGGTGTGCTAGATATAACTGAGTCCTTGGGATTGAATGAGATTGTTCACTTTCTGGTGTGCCTCCAGCTAGGATATAATATCTCTCCATCTACCAGCTTATCCCAAGCCAAAGTTCTCCCATCTGTACTCTATTGATCACTTTTTTTCCTTGTCCCTCCTTCAGTCTTGTCTTCCATTAGGTAGTAAAATAACAATAGAGACTATTACTAATTCTGAATTTGGTGCAGCACCTAGCATGTCCTCTGTACCTTTTGTGTGATTTCTAAATAGTGTTTACTTGACATTTTTCATCAATCATTCACTTATTCAATCACTCCACAGGTAATTATTGAAGGCTTATTAAGTGCTAGACACTATTTGGTAAAGGGGAAATGATGGTGAGCAAGAAACATAAGGTCTCTATTCTCCTGAGTTTATATTCTAGGGTGGGAGACAGTAATAATAATAATAATAATAATAATAATAAACAAACTACTAATCAAGATAATTTCCAGATAGGGAAAAGAGTTCTAAAGATACTATACCTATTGCCCTCAAGAATACCAGAGGGATGGGCATGTGGAAGTTGGTGCTAATTTTCATAGACAGATAACAGTGCATCTTTCTGAAGAAACATAAGAATAAGCAGAGAAGGTTCAGGATGAGATAAAAAAAAAAGGAAGCATGGGCTAGATCACTTAATGATATGAAGGTCATGGTACAAGTTCTGAAACTTATTCTGGTTCTGATAAGATACCACTGGAGGTTTTAAGCAGAGGGGTGAAATGATTTAATTTACACTTTAGAAAGAGCACCATGCCAGAGAGGGAGGTGAAAGGCATCAAACTTTTTGAGTGTAGTGAATAGATAACAGGGGAAAAGAGTGGAGGCAGGGAGACCAGTGTGGAGGAATTGTAATACTCCTGGCAAGAGATGATACCAAGTTGGAGGTGATGAAAGTGGAGAGATACGGTTAGAGACAACAGGATTTCCTAGGATTGGATGGGGAACAATGATGGAAAAAGAGAAAATTAAGGATAATTTCTAGATGTTTGAGTTTAGGAGCTGGATAAATTATTTGATGCCTTTTACTGAGATGGGAATCACTGGAAAAGAAGCAGATTTCTGGAGAGAAATGACGACAGCACAGAGCATGGGTACAAGTTGATTCTGAGTAAGGTATTTTGGCTAAGGAGGAAATAAATCCCATATACCAAAGTCTCTGATGTCATATTTTATACTGTTGGATTCTAATTACAATTTTCCAAGACTTGCCCAATTTTACTAAATGTAGCTAGGTAAATTTCCTGTTGAATAGTTGCCAGAGAATTAAGCTGCTGGGAATCCTGTAGTTGCCAATTTTGCTCTTGTTTCTTCCTGAGCAGATCTGCGAAGCAGCTTGCCACTCTCTTTGTGAACCTCTGTGTCACTGCAGAGACCCATGAGGTCTCCGCCCTGTGGTTCCTGTGGTACGTGAAGCAGTGTGGGGGCACAACCAGGATCGTCTCAACAACCAATGGAGGACAGGTACCCAGGCTTCCTCCCACCATTCCAACTGAAAACCAGCCACTGCCTCAATGGAAGATTGATATTACTGGGGTCATCCTTTAATTGTGAACTGATGAAGCAGGAGGCAGTTTTGTCACTGCAGCTCAAGGCAGCTCTTGTGAAGCACAATCTGTTGTTAAGTAGTACCTAATGTGAGAGCCTGGTGGCTATGTAATTATCAAACTAAGACTGCCTTTTTATGTAGTTTTTCAGTTTTTCATATGGATATTGTCTTACTTATCTAGTGCTGCTATAACAGAAATATCACAAATGGGAGTGCTTTAACAAACAGAAATTTATTTTCTCACAGTTTAGGAGGCTGGAAGTCTGAATTCAGCATGCTGGCCCTAGGGGAAGGCTTTCTCTCTGTTGATTCTGGATGAAGGTCCTTGTTTCTTCAGCTTCTGCTTCCTGGTTCCTTGGAGATCTCCAAATGTCTTGGCATCTATCTTACCCTATCACTGCTTGCTCACTTGCTTATTTAATCTCTTTTATATCTCAAAAATGATTGACTCAAGATCCACCCCCACACGAATCCTGCCTCAATAATATAACAATGACAACTCATTCCCAAATGGGATTACCACAAGCATAAAAGGAATTATAACACATATTTTGGGGGTACACAATTCAATCCACAACAATTTTATTTTTATCTGGTAAATTCATAGGAGACCATCTGAAGAACGTAACTTGAACACTTCTTGCAAAGCTCAAAAAGGAAGGTCAGAAATATATTTTCAATTTAAAAAACACACCACACATTGAATTTGTTCATTCACTCATTCATTCTTTCCTGAGCCCCAGCTTCATATAAGGCATTGTTCAGTAGGAAATGGATTAGAATTTTTAGGTGATGTTTGGCAGTCATTTCCCTTTCTTCTTTTTCTTCTTTCATTTTTATTTCCAGATCTATTTGAAATAATATATTTTAAAATATCTAAACTAAACATTTAGAAGGCAGCCAGCCCAACTGTGTTTGCACAATCATTCAGAGAACATTTGGAAGCTTTAGCAGAGCTCCAGGCAGGTGAGTGTAGTGAGTTGACATGACTTAGGTGATCACAGAGACAGCAAGTAACTGACCCAGGATGAGATGGGAAACCACCAGCAGGGAGTGGACGGGCTCAATGGAGCAGCAAGGTTCTGAGCCTGAGAAACCAGAAACATGAAAACCAGTTTAGATGTGCTTAGGCAAGTGGTGGCCCAGCTATAGGTAGAGCTTCACCACACCCAGCAGCCCAACAAGGATACAGAAAGGACATATAGCAGGGATTGTGACCAGACAGGTGGGACATGGGTGTCAGGCCGAGGAGGTCAAGCTGAAGTTGGAGCCTGGGAATTTGCAAGAGCAGAACCTAGAAACTGATTGTTAGAAAGCCTGTAACTTTGTCAAAAACCACCATAGTCACTAGCTAAAAAATGTTATAGATTGCATTGTGTTCCCCCTAACCTCTTTGCCTGTCGTTATAATTCCATTTGGGAATGAGTTGTCTTTATTATGTTAATGAGGTAAAATTAGTCTAGGCTATGGTTTGAGTCAATCTCTTACAAAATAAGGAGCAGATTAAGGAAGTAGAGATGGGGGAAGATTGTTGCTAAGCCACATGAAGATCTCCAAGGAACCAGGTAAGAAGCTGAAGAGACAAGGACTTTCCTTCAGGGCCAACAGAGAGCAAAAGCACCCTGAATTTAGCCATCAAGCTTCCTAAATTGTGAGAAAATAAATTTCTGTTTGTTAAAGCCATCTACTTGTGGTATTTCTGTTATAGCAGAACTAGAGAACTAAGACAGAAAATAATGGTGAAAAACATTTACTCACAAGCCAAAATGAAATTTTAAACATCTTGGAGTAAAGGTATGTGAGGGAATCTATCAATTTAATGATCTATGCCCATTCCTTTATTTCATAATCCAACTCTTGAGGTTTTTTTTTTTTTCCTTTCTTTCCAGGAGAGGAAATTTGTGGGTGGATCTGGTCAAGTGAGTGAGCGGATTATGGATCTCCTTGGGGACCGAGTGAAGCTGGAGAGGCCTGTGACCCACATTGACCAGACAGGAGAAAATATCCTTGTGGAGACCCTGAATCATGAGATATATGAGGTAACTGAGATCCTTAAACTAGAGGGAGAAGGCCAGAATCCCAGAGATAACTGTTTTAGTTTTAAGAACTGTTTTAGGACTGCTATGGCCACACATTAAGTGGCTTAAAACAACAGAAATGTATTTTCTCACAATTGTGGAATCTGGACGTCCAAAATCAAGCTGTTGGCAGGGCTGTGCGCTGTTTACTATAGGGGAAGATCCTACCTTGGCTTTTCCAGCTTCTGGTGGTTCCTGGCAAACTTTGGTGTTCTTGAATTGAAGATGCTTCATCCAAGCTCTGCTCCTGTCTTCATGTGCTTTTTCTTCTCTGTACCTGTTCTCTCTTCCTCTGCTTATAAGGACACCAGTCATATTGGTGTATTGTTGCTAGGTGCCATCAAGTTGATTTTTTGACTCAGTGAATTCATGTGACAGAGTAGAACTGCCCTATAGCGTTTCCTAGGCTGTTATCTTTATGGAAAGGGATTGCCAGGTCTTTCTTCTGTGGAGCTTCTGGGTGGGTTCAAACTGCTGAGCACTTAACCATTGCACAACCAGGGCTCCTTCATATTAGATTAGGCCCACCCTATACCAGTATGACCTCATGCTAACCTAACTGATTTCAACTTCAAAAACCTGATTTCCAAACAAGGTCACATTCCCACATACTGGGAGTTAGAATGTCAGTATAGCTTTTGGGGGGCCACAATTCAACCCATAATACCCAAAGCTTAAATAAAGCCAAGGATACTCCAGATTTCATAGATAGTCCTTTGTCAAAAGTTAAAAACTACCTCTATCTGAAATAAATGCCAGGAAGGACAGTTTAAAGAGGAATGGCATGGCATTCATCATCACAAAGCATGTTTCAAGATCTCTCCTGAAGTACAATGCTGGCAGTGATAGGATAATATGCATACGCCTACAAGGAAGACCTATTAATACAACTATTATTCAAATTTATGCACAAACCACCAAAGCCAAAGATGAGGAAATTGAAGATTTTTTATCAACTTCTGAAATCTGAAATTGATCCAACTTGCAATCAAGATGTTTTAATTATCACTGGTGACTGGAATGCAAAAGTTGGGAACAAAGAAGAATCACTGGTAGTTGGAAAATTTGGCCGCCTTGACAGAAATAATGCTGGAACTCGCATGGTAGAATTTTGCAAGACCAACGACTTGTTCATTGCAAACACCTTTTTTCAACAACACAGACAGTGGCTGAACACGTGGACTTCACCAGATGGAAC